TTTTTCACCTCCCAAATTTAACTCCGCCTTCGGTAACTTAGATGCATGTCCTCTTCCGAATTTCTAGTCAGTCTTGTACCGAACGCCAACCAACAAACAACCAGCTATTCAATCAGTCCGAGCACTGAACGATCAACCAAGTTTTTTCCTATACCATAACGTTCGAGACAAAGTACTCCGTGACCGCTTCAGGCCTCGTTAAAAATTATCCGAATACTTTCTCTCGTGATTTAAGGCTGCAACACAACGCAAACTGACGCGAGTACACGACAGTACGTGAAAGAAAAAAGAGTTCAGGGCGATACAGGGTCTAAATGTCCCGTAATTAGTAATAATTGTAATTAGTGCAATTACCGTTGGTGGAATATAGTACAACGATACATACTTTTAAGCAATTCTTCTCTGGCTTTTGCCCAAGCTGGTCTCTTCATTGTTGTAAGGATACCAACTGGTGGTGTTCTAGGATCAGCTTTGGTTTCCATAATCTTTAAGATTTGTTGGGCCAATTCGTTTTCAGTTATACGACCTCGGTCCGGTGCCCTAACAGGTACGCTATAAAACTGTGAAAATAAGAAAGTTTCTCGAATCCATAAAATGCCAATGAAATTTATTCGATTTGGAAGACTTTGGAAACTGAAGCGATTGAACGATTATAGCAAATATGATTGATGATTATTCGAATTTCTATTCGAGGCTTCCGTGTTCAATGGTTATTGCGCCTTTGCCCGCCCGAAGGCCCGCTGAACGGCACTGTCACAAGGCAAGGAGTTAACCCTTTCGCGACGGCGGAATTAGCCATCAGTACTCCCAGTGTGTCCGTGTAAAATCTTAGAGGATTTCGTTGGAACAGCAGAGGACTTAAGGGCGTATTGGATAAGGGGAATGTTGTCGAGGCCTTGTTCTGCATTTTAAAATAAATCTTCACTTTGAGTTGTTGAGGCGCGAGCCAATGCGCGCTTAGCGGATATAACCGGCGCTAGCCAGTGTGAAGCATTTAGTGCAGGCTCGGGCAACTTCTTCCTCGCTGTCGCTTCAAGACTTCCACTACCAGTGTTCCGGTTCCCCCACTGCGAAAGGGTTAATAATCATTGGACACGGTTCTAACCCGGAAGCCTCGAATATTCAAGTAGTCCAGGCCGTGAAAGTTTAAAAAGTTCTAACGACGTTTATTGTTTATGAACGACGATGTGATAAATTACAGTGCAATTGCGTTAACATAAAATGAAGTATTCCTGCACTTACTTAATACATGTTAGACAATGTTAAAATAAAGGAAATGTAGTTGCGAGTTTAATTGTCCATGTATGAATAGAGTAGCAGCAATAACGTGGTTGCTTTCTGTAAAATAAATGTAAAACGAACGAAAATCAAAAGTAAAAAATGTATTCGAATAATGATATACAATGGTGAAACGAATACAAGGATCTTTCTATGCGAAATGTTTCATGTAAATTACTACGAAACATACCTGATTGTGATGAGCAATAATGATATGATTTCCTGACATAGTTCTGTCGAGAATAACTTGCTCGTCACAGTTCATCCCTGGTCGTCGATACATTCGGAACATTTGATATTGCTGGGCCATGCATAAGGGTTGCATAACCTTCCCATCTTTGGATTTCGCTTCGTCAATTTTCAGTCCGGAACTATATTAAATTATACATTTCCCGTGGTTGAATAATTTAATTGTTATGGCTATTAACTTCTAAATACTCAATCAGCAATTTTTATCGTAATTGATAACATTTAAATATTTAAACGTTTCAGCTTTTGGAAATTTTAAATTAATCGAATTATTGGGTAATAAAAATTCACATCAACAAGCTAGTTCAATCACTGGCAATTTTGATTACTGGTACAAATAAAATCTTGGTATAATTTGGTGTTAGAAGGGATAATTTTAACCCTAGTGCGTTCTTTCATTCGACTGTACACTTGAGGTTTTCGGGTCTTTTTTGACCCAAAGGTCTTAGGTGTAACAATTTTTGTTACCAGTACGCCATATGAACTTAGGTAATGCACTTTCCTAAGGGAACGTAAATTTGATAACAGCAAAAGTAATTAAAAAGATAAGAAGGCGATGGGTCAAAAAAGACCCGAAGACCGCTCTAGGGTTAAGTACCACTTTCAGTACCCCAAACAATGTATCGCTGGTTGGCATCGATAGTGTTAATTTGCACAGGTAGATTCCACAGGTACAGTAATTTTTATCATCCAAAATATAACTTCATTAATATCACACCAGAGAGCAAATCAGATTATACGATCGGTATTCAACTATTATATAGTCAAATGCAAATTTGAAACTGTTTTTCCTGTAAAATTTACATTGCTCAGTTATGTCACCGTCAATGTCAAGCAGCGACATGTAAATTTCAGATTTGTCCGATTTCGTTGCTAAGGTGTTGCAATTTTCTGGCGCCAGCAGTGTATTATTATTGCAAGGCACAAAAAAAAAAAAAAACTGTCATCTCGAAGGGAAAGGTAGTTCACAAGTACATCCTGACACATTTGCGTTAATTCCTGAAAAGAAAGTAGGAAGCATTCCAGTCGGTGCTTCCTTCCCGACCGGATACAGGATACCGAGGTCTTTGAGAGCCTTTCTATGCACGAGCATCCTTTGCGTTTCGCTCGGAACGAGTCTCTTTATGGCCGCCGCGTTCTATGGATCCTACAAGCCGGATTTCCTCGTAGACGTGCTCCCTCGCTAAATTGATTTCAGTGCGGCTTCTTTTTGTCCTCGAGACGAATCATCGGCTCGAATGACAGAGCTCTTCTTCCTTCGAGAACTCGCGAGGAGCTTTCTACACGCTGTTCTCGCTTTCTTCCCCGTCGATTCTAAGCCTCGTGTCGACGATTAGCTTAGCTTCTTCCGAGGGGCTTTTAAGCGTGTCGTGGATCAAAGTTTTAAGATAGGATCGAAAACTGTTCTTCAAATTGCTCCCTTCTTTTTTATATTCTTCTTCTTCTTTCATTTTTCGATTTTAATTTATTCTTTCGGAAATGGAGATTAGCAAGGAGTATTTACATTTTTCCTTTGTTTTTATCCTATTAGGTTAGTGCACGTGAAACGTCGTTTTTTTTTTTTAATGAAATTTTAGATAATGTATTTAGTGAAAATAATTTTTATTAGATTCTGTACACTTTTTCTCAATGATTAAGTAGTTCTGTTATTCCAAATTTCTGGAAATCGTTGGTACTTGAATGAACAAATATTTTGAATGTTATTTTTACAGTGTCTTCATTTTGGAATCGATCATTTGTTAAGAAATTGTTCAGGTGTTTGAAGAAATGAGTGAATAGGACAGGATGTGGAAAAATTTTATATTCTTTACCGTGGATTGTTTTCAATAATTTTCCTTAGAACTTTATCATTGATGGTCTCACCTGGCCTTCCTCTTTTTTTTCATTTTCCAACGAAAAGTCGCCAATCTTAAATTTTGTACAGTGTCCTTAGCATTTACATAACCTTCTTCAAATGCTAAATTTATACTTTCAGTCGGTTTCACGGCAGTTTTTCAAAGTTTAAACCTGTGTAAAAGAATTACGCGAATATCCGGATTATCCAAACAAGTGTATCATGAATTTTTTTTACTATTCAATACACGTGTATTACAGCAAATTCTTTCTTCTTGGCTATTGAGTATACAAATATGCGATTGGACGAAATTTAATATGTGGTCTTGACCCGCTAATCTCAGCTATTGATAAAAAATTTCGTTTGCACCAACCTAATATATTATTTTTCTTCGTTTCTGCGTCTTGATCGTTGTGAGTTTTCGGTTTGTTCGATTAAAAATCAAACTTTTTATAAATAAATACAAACGATATTGACTTTAACAGAGATTAAATTTTCTTTAATCAAAATCTATCTAAATCTATTTAATAGATATTTAATTTCAAAGATTTTCCGTTCTTTTTGTTTAAACTGTTGTTCCGTATAAATTTCTTCATTCATATTTGACATATCATAATTTCCGCAATTATAAAACGTACGAACATCTATTTTTGAAATACACATTGAAATTGTATAATTAAACCCTAGTGCGGTCTTCGGGTCTTTTTCGACCCATCGCCTTCTTAATTTTTTAACAACTTTTGCTGTCATCAGGTTTACCTTCCCTTAACATTGTGTTAAAGGTTTATTGCCTAGGTTCATATGGCGCGCTGGTACTAAAAATTGGGTCCTTTTTGACCCAAAGACCTTGAGTACATACACTACCGGCCAAAGGTTTGGAATCACTGTGCATTGCCAGTTGCAGAAAAATTCCCCAAAAATGTTAGCATTTATAATAATTTTCCAACGAATTTTTTATTATTCAAATCAATCGAAATGAGATAAACTGCTATTGATCCCCACAACATCAATTTCAAATCAATAAAGAATTAGTAGCGGATTCAATATTAATATAAATTGGCAGATGATTCCAAACTTCCGGCCGGTAGTGTATAGTCGAATAGAAGAACGCATTAGGGTTAAAAAGTATAATTAAAAACACATGCTCTTACCTGTCTAATACTTCTTGGTAATTAAGCAGCTCTGTTAGAAATCTCGCAAGGAATACGGTAGCTTCTTTTTGGTTACTAAATGTTTTAGGTCTTGCTGCAAGACCGGGGTTGCTATTGATTGGTAGAGCCAGAGGAACTGAGAGATACATGTCATTTAACCACCATTCGGTTGCCTGTTAACAAAGTAAAAAGAGAATTATTAGTAATTTGTAGTAACGTTACTGAATAAAACAGAAGAACATTCTCTTCCTTTTTCTCAAATATAATTTAAGGTCGTATCAACATTTTGGGTACTGGCCACCGTAGTTGGCGGTTATTGTATAGGGTGTTTCGCGTAAAACAAGCCACCTAAATATCTTTTTTACCTGTGATAACATGAGAGATATTTTTCACGTAGTTTAAAGGGTTTCAAAAGGTGAATAAGATGGAAGAAAAATTTATTTGACGGGAAGAATGATAAATAACGAAAGGAAATTTCAGATTTGATTTTAGACAAGATCATTTTAAAGTCATACTATCATATTATACATGGATGAATGCACAGTAGTGTTAGCTATAACATACAATAGAGAAAATTATGTGCATGTACTTGAAAAAAACATTGAAAAAGGACATTTCTGGTATTATCACAGATAGAGAAGATTTTTAGGACAAGTAAAAGATATTCTATGGATAAGTTGAATTGCTTTCTTGAGATTTTCTCTTTCAAATATTTCTTTAATTTTATTAGGCATTTGGAACTGGTTTCTAGTGTTTTCTGTGCTCTTGCAGTCTAACAGAACATTTTTTATGGTTAAATTTTGTTGGCAAGGTTCACAGTATGGTAGGATTATTTTGTTTAGAATGTAGCTATGTGTAGCCATAGTGTGCTCTGTTAATTAGTTTTTGTTTTTTTCTGCTGAATTTGGCTTTATGAGATATAAATAAGTACCCGACTAGAATTTCAGTTAGGCATGCCTAAAGACGAATGTGAGCCTAATGCAGAAACGATTACACACACCTAAATGCTGCAAGCCTAATCGTTACCGCATTAGGTCCTAATTCGGAAGGAATGATGCATGCCTAAGTTGGGCATTCCTAATAGTTGCCATACGTGACCTAAATGGGGGCGGCCAAGCGCACGCCTAAGTTAGGCATTCCTAACAGTTGCCATACGTGGCCTAAATGGGGGTAGCCGAGCGCACGCTTAGGTTTGGTATTCTTAACAGTTGCCATACGTGGCCCAAATAGAGGGGTGGCCGAGCGCACGCTTAGGTTTGGCATTCCTAACAGTTGCCATACGTGGCCCAAATGGGGGTGGCCGAGAGCACACTTAGGTTTGGCATTCCTAATAATTGCCATACGTGGTCCAAATGGGGGTGGCCAAGCGCACGCCTAAGTTAGGCATTCCTAACAGTTGCCATACGTGGCCCAAATGGAGGTGGCCAAGCGCACGCCTAAGTTAGGCATTCCTAACAGTTGCCATACGTGGCCCAAATGGAGGTGGCCGAGCGCACGCCTAAGTTAGGCATTCCTAACAGTTGCCATACGTGGCCCAAATGGGGGCGGCCAAGCTCACACTTAGGTTGGGCATTCCTAACAGTTGCCATACGTGGCTGAAATAGGGATGGCCGAGCGCACACCTAAATTAGGTGGAGTAGGGCTTTCAAACTTATATGTAGGAATATTTACAGACATCTCAGTGTCAGACGTACGCTTGCGTGAGAGCTTTCAACAAGATAAAAGTTTTTACAATTTAATCCATACCGTGTCTTGATGAGATATTCCTCATGAGATTTCATTAATGTCTCCCAATGACAGCGTAATAAAGCTATTCTAATATGGGCCTAATGCGGTTGGCCTCATTGGGAAAGCCTAATGCGGCCATAATGACAGCGTAATAAAGCTATTCTAATATGGGCCTCATGCGGTTGGCCTCATTGGGAAAGCCTAATGCGGCCCTAACGCGGCTTTCCCAATTAGGCGGTCGTGAATATTTCGCGTTACATACCGCATGCGGAACTGATGGGGTTGCCCCATTGGGGCCTAACAGGCAAATTAAGCTAGCCTAATGCGGACCTAATATCTGCCTAACTGAAATTCTAGTCGGGTAATACATAATGCACATAAAATTTATACTATTTAACAATGTTACCATTAGTTTTTGAGAAAACATAAAAGAATTTGAAAATAGTTCTAATTAAACATTTCTAATTTTTTGGTATTTATTGGAAAAAATTTTTTAGAAATAATGTATTCATATGAAACTTATAGTAAATTACTAATTCAAAGCATACATTATGTACCTACTATTTAAGATAACAGAGAATTTTAGTCTTTTCTAATTATTAACAGTGAGTAGTATCTATTTTGAATATTATTTTACGTTTTCTATCACTTTTCTAGGAAGTCATCTCAATAATTGATTACATGCAAACGAGGCAAACGAAAATGAAAGTGCCCGCTCGAACGAGGCACCATTGTTTAATCCGCATTTAATGACGCCCCATAGTAATCCCTGTTGAGTTTATAAAAAAGTGTCACAGCTGTCAAATATTGGAACACTGATTATCTCAAAATTCCTGTTATTATTCCCATGTGGTTTGTTGTTTTAATAATTGTTTCTACCAAATTGTATCTAAATATTGAAAATTGCATAAACCATGGTTATATTATAAAATCTATAACTAACAATCTTGAAGTATCAATGTATTCAAATCAAGATAAATCACAATTTAAGAGTCATAAAAATTAGTATATTGAGGCAAAACAAGAGAAACGTTATAACGATTCCCACATTTTTCTAGATATTTTTCTGTATTATTATCCTTTAATATGTAAAAATGGATTTTAATTTCTTTCCATTTCATAATTTTCCAAATTAGGTATTTCATCATGATTCCTACACTTTTATAGATTTTTTCTATACCAATATCCTTTAATAAGTGAAAATGAAAATGTCAAAATATAAAAAAGAAATTCCAGGTATTTATAAATCTTAAGAGGAAACATAACATTTCATGTATGATTAATACAAATATCCTGTCAAATATCCAACTAGTATAGCTGCAGTTAGGAAATGTATACTGCAACGAAGGGAATAGAAGCATTTTTTTCTATCTTTGGATTCTGGGTTAATGCAACGAATCTCCTCGAAGCTGACGTGTAATTTTTACCAGTTAGTTTCTAGATCTGCATAATAGATTAGGCTTTCTTTGGAAACGCTTATAGATAGAAAGACTTCGCGGATGAATATTTATGGAACTCGGTGTTCAGTACCATTACGCTTATGCAGATTCTACGGCGATGAATTTGAAATGAGACCGATCGAAGCCGGTATAAAAAGAAATTCTGAAAGCTGCGATAAGCATACATTGTTCTATAAGAGTCAGTCTCTATATAAATGTCTATTTTTATCGATGTGAGCTGTTACGGATAGCATGACTGCTCTTCTATAGTGAAATGAGCATACCCACATATACTTTCTTCTTTTTCCTTGAAATTTCATATGAAATTTAAATAAAAGGTACCAATTACACTGGACGAATATTACTTTCCTTTTTGACGAAGTTCTTAGATACTGCAAAATTTCTTTCTTCTTTAATAACCTTTTTTCAATTATTTTTGACTGGTCTTCTTTATTCTTCGCAAGGTTTATTTTCTTAGATACTCTTTTTCTATTAAGACACTTATTGAATGAAAACTAAATCTAATCAGTCGTTATAAAATTAAAATCCAAAATGAAAAAGGAAGAAATTATTCAGTTCGAAATTTCGTAGTATAACAAGTAGACACATATTTACTGATATATCGTCACCTTAATACTACCACTAGATAATTCACACTCCATTCGTAAATTTTAAAACAAAGGGCGGCAATTAAATTTTGTTTCTTTTCGTTGCACTTCCTTCTCTAATTTTCATAAATTTTCCCTCTCTGGGTGACTGTATCAGAAGTGGTGTTTTCTTTACAACTATGGTATGCTAGAAATTGACAATACCAGCAATATTTTGGAATATTAAAAGTGAATAAATTCCAAATTCACTCTGTTCAGTGCTAAAACTCAATAATGAAATCGAGTTTTCTATTAATGATTTTAAGATGTCTAGCTGTAGTATTGAGGTGAAGATATGATATACTAACTTCGGCCAGGAAATGTAATTTAAATCATAGAATACTTTCTGTACGAACGTAGTAGGTGTCTTAATATTTATGAACGGCAGTGTATATTGCATGGAACAGTCAGTATATGACGTAATATTTTTGACGAAAATTTTATAACAAGTATTTTTGATCTTGATGAAATATAAGGAGATACATCATTTGTTGTATTGGATGATTGCAAAAGTTCTTGCCCGATCTTCAGAGGTGGCGGGAACCTACCTTATCGACTTCGTCACAAATGTTTGTTCCAGCGTCATGCTACATTCCTATCGGAAGATGCACCGCTTGTATTTTACTTTCAAATCGGGCACGAACTTCTGCAATTGTCCGATATTAACAAGGAGAGGGCACGGTCGACGGGAAATGGATTTTCCTGAAACTTGCAGTATTTGAAGATGTCGTCTCCAAATTTAATTTGGCAAAGCAGCAGCTCGCGCTTCTCGATATTTTCCGAGAAAATTGCAATTGAAAATCGCTTTACTTGTTTATAAGGAGTTTGTGTTAACGAATGAACAACGAGCCTAGTAGCCGAGGACGTAGCGTGAAATACTGGTAATCAATAGGTGCTGGGTTCGAGCCCTCGGTATTCAATATTTTTTTTTTTTTCTGTCAATTGATACCTACCTCAATTTTAAGCGTAAAATTTATGAAATCTGCGCCAATGAACAGTTATTTTTATTTTTCTAAATAGAAAATGCATGTTTTTTATTTGTGGGCATTGGGAAAAAATCGAACATAAAAATAATACAGAATTTTATATTTACTTTATTATTGCACATTCTCTTTATTAATTACATGCTAGTACGACACGAGCATATTAATGGGAAATAAGGAAATAGGTTTCCCGTCGACCGTGCCCTCTCCTTGTTAGATGCACCGGAGCTTGCTTGCTTCGCTGCTGTACGCCCTTTATGCCAACGTGCGAGGGAACCCAAGCGGTACAAAATGTCTTTTTTCGCACATTTATCTTCGAAAATATCTTTCTCGAACCGTACTTACTTACTTCTCAACTTTCGTTAACTGCGTAAAA